CCGGGCCTCGAACCCGCGGCTCCGCGGCCTCCTCCCCACCCCCGCTCCGGTCGTGGCATCCACAAACAAAATCCATTTCTATTTAAAAACGAGTGGAAGAACTGCCCGGGCTGGGAACGCTCCCGTGCACGGCGGGACGTGCGGGATTTGATCGAAAACGTGCGTGTGCCCTCGCTCTGCCGAGAAACAGGATCCCAGCATACGCCGCAGATCTAGGAAAAAAGGGTCTTCCTCGTGGAAAAAACGGTGTACTTCAAGGTCCTCGTAGTCTTTCGTGATCGCACAGCCCGGGGCGTTCTGCAGCTTTACTGCACAAGTACCTGCTGCATGTTTTTAAGGCTTTGCTACACGTGTTCCTTCTTCATTTTCCTCCTTCTGCCCGCCGATAACTCATTTTTTTTGTTTATCGCTGCTAGAGAAATGCTGAATAACACAAGCTGACTTGCTTGGTTCATTGCCAATATTTATTTCACATTGATAGACCACAAAAGTCACTGCAATACTAACAGCTGTAATGGTATGAGGAAATTCGTCACTGGGAACACAGGCTAGCAGAAGAGTCAAACAGTAAAATAAATCAACAAGCTAGTACTGCTTATCCTGACTCGGAAAGTATGCGTGTATATATTCTGAAATAGTTGATCTTCCAATTTTTTTTGCAATAACTTTAAGTCAAGTTTCACTAAGGCTGAAATTGTCGGTCAGTGTTATTTGTTTGTACACAAGTTATTTTCTTGACACACGGAGTGACACCATGTATAAAATCATGTGCCAAATATTTTTAGCTTATGCTTCTGGACTTTACCTAACTTTCCCCTCCATTTTTTTCCTGCGTGCACAAGCGTAGAACTGAAGACTGAGAAGGAGAGTCTGTCTCAAAAAGAGCTAAATAAAATTTGTGCACTAAGAAATGTAAACCAATTGCAAACTGATTTTCTTAACTCATGTTTTCTTGGGGAAGGAAACAAATTTGGTTTGTGCCGAGGATTTTTGTGCTTTCTTCCACCACCACTTTACGTGCGCTATCATTAGAGCCCCCATCTTCAGAGAAGAGTTCTTTTCTGCCGAGCCCACCTGTGCTGATTGCTGAATCCCCCAAGCGATCCTGCCTTATAGGGCCAGGGAGACCTTTAGTAGCACTTCCATAACTGGAAATTAAACCTAGAGCCATCACAGGCACTCCACACTGCTACTGCTAGTCCATGGGACTGATGTGTTGTATTTGCAAATACATAATTTCCTGAGTAGATAATTTATTGCTGAGGTTAGACTAAATGTCTGTAACGATCCTTTTTGGCCTTGAAATCTCTGTTTGTGACGTTCACCTCTTGTTGGCCTTTAAGTTTTCCATCATTTTTGTTTATTTTTGCAGATACCAGTATGAAAACTGATTTTAGTCAGACAAATCTAGACTCCTGGATATGTTGTTTATCTAGCTATTTTCGTATTTTCTTTTTTTAGATGATCATGTGAAAAGACAGGCACATAAATGCTGCAAAACTATAAAATGAATAATGTGATAGACTATGCGATGGACTTTCAAAACAGCCTTTTGAAGTATTAAAAGTTACTTTAAGAGTATTTGCATTTGAGGATAGCTGGTAAGAAAAGCTGAAGAAATTCTGTCTTTCTTTTAAATTCTTTATCTTTTTAATACTATTACAGTTCCTGGGCAATTGTTGCAGTTGGATTCCTGGTTCTGGTTTTTATTGCTCTGTTGGCTCGTGTTCTTGTCAAAAGAAAACCACCAAAAGACCCGCTGTTCTATGGTATGTCTTGGTAACAGTGAAGCTAAATTCAGAAAGTGTTAATTTGTAGACATGATAACATACGACGGTTATTTCAGATTGAATATTTAAGGCATGGCTTCAGAACCCAGTCTGGTGAGGTGCTAAGGAGCCAAGAAAGAAAGACTGGGGAAAAAGGAGGAGAAATAATGCTTCTTTTGAAATTTTTTATTCTTCTCAAATAGGAGATCCAGCTTAGGGACAAGTCAATCCCCTATTTGAAAAGAATAAGAATAACACTCCAGTTGGGCTGTGAAACTGTTTGAAATACTGTCATACCTGCTCTGTTAAGATCCTCCTTGTAGCAGGACTTAGGCACCACAGTGGACTTCTCATCTTTATCTCATTCTGAGTGGACTCATTTGGGATTTTTAGATCTTTTGGATCAGTGGCCTCCATGGCTTGGTTCTTCCTACGATCGAATTCCTTAGCCCTCCCATTTTTATTAGGCTTCTGTGTTAACTCACCTTGGTGATATATAAGAAAGTTCAAACCACCCCAGCTCCTGGCTCAGGCTATCTGCAGACTCAGGCAGACACTGGGGGGTTGGGCTAGATGACCTCTAAAGGTCCCTTCCAACCCAAAGCATTCTATGATTTCTATATTGATACTTTGACATAATAGAGATATTGATAACCTTTTAAAAGGAAACCTTAGACCTAGATTACCTTATAGTAAAAATTTAGAAGGAAAAACACTGCTGTTTCTTCAAATTTTGCAAGACAGGCCCATAGGCAAAGCAGTGTACAAACCGCCTGTATTTGCCCTCTGCCTTCCTCCTCGTTGCAACTCATAGGTGTCTGTCGCCAGTGTTCTGTGTGAGGCCGGGAACCCTCAGTTCACACTGGAGTCAAAGGAAACAGATAACATAAACCTACTGCAAATACATTTCCTGTCTCAAAGGAGCAACTCACCAACTTGCCAGATAGGTCTCCTGTAGCTAATGCACTTTGCCTTGTTCACCTCCAAAAATGCCAAGTCACATTTTCCTCTCCACCTCCTTTTTGTTGTCCTTTCTCCTTTCCAAGAGATGACTACAGTCAGGGTTGTATATTTTGTGTGACCAACCTTTTTGAAAGGCTACATAGTCCTTTCTGCAGACACTGACTTTCCATGGAGGCTGTGCCTACAGCTCTACAGAATTTCACATTCCTAAGAAAAGCTTCCTAAGAACTTTGTTGACTAACCACTAATTAAAAAATACTAAGCTATGTTAGAAAGTCATATTGTATGTTAAATATCCGTGACCTCAAAGTAGATGCATCTAGTTCAATAGATCTCTGCCTGACTGAATTTATCAGACTGTAAAGCAACTGCGTGATTCCAAATCTTTATTAATTTGTTATTTTTTTCCCTTTATCTTATTATAGTTTATGCTGTATTTGCCTTTACCAGTGTGGTGAATCTAATAATTGGACTGGAACAGGATGGAATTATTGATGGATTCATGACTCATTACCTGAGAGAGGTAAACAATTGTTTGGCTTACAAATGTAAATAAAATCTTTACTAGAAAGAACTCGGTATAGTATTTGTCACAGAAAAATAGCCACTTACACATTCAGAAAGGTCATCTTGAATTTGATCATTGACCTGTTTCATTACTGTTATGGACAAAACCTTCACTGACTTGAAATCACTGAGTCATTTCAGAAAAATAGCACACCTTCCAAGCTCCAATGTTATTGCACTTAGCTTGAGTAATACTGTTCTGTATTAACTTCTGTGGGACTTGAGTAGACTACACGTTTGCAGAAAGCCGTAGATACTCAGCACTCTGGAGGGGATGAGTACTGCAGCACATAAATGTGTTACCAAGAAGGAAACAAAATTGCTCCTTTATTTTTGCTAAAATTCCTTTACTAAAAGGAGTTAAAGTCGAGTTAAAAAATGATGATGCCAGATACCTAGTCAGCAGAATCTGTTGGCTGCTGGATATCAACATCCACCAAAAATAGCTCAGTAAGAGCTTGATACGAAAGTCACCGAAGTCGTTGAAAAGATTCCATGAACTTCAGTGTGAAATGAGGTGCTCCTTACAAGGTTATGCATTGTCATCAGTACATTCAATACTGTTGTAGATCTCTAGGTTGCTAAATATATCTTTATTTGTTTCACATTAAATGCATCTTTATTTTGTAGCTTGTATCACTAAAATATGGAAAAATAATGTTTCCATAACGTAGCAGACCAATGCTGACAGTGATACGTAGGAGGTTTCCCTTCCATCTAGCACCCTATTTTGCAACTATAGAACTGATTTAATTATACCTGATCCTACCTAAATCAGGTTTGTGCTTGGGAATGCGTATTGTCAGTCAAAAAATGTACCTCTGGATTCAACGAACATCAGTTACTTTTCAGAAATTGTTTCCCGCTGTTCTTTATTAATTGATTATTTGTTATTCTTCCTCTAATCACTGTATCTTTAAAATAAATGTTCCCTAGGGTGAACCACATCTAAACACTGCATATGGCCATGTGATCTGCTATTGGGATGGCTCCGTTCATTATCTGATGTATCTGTTGATGGTGGCAGCTATTGCATGGGAGTAAGTTATTTTGATTTGTGCACAGTTTACTTTGCTTGCATTCTCATATAACCTACAAAGGGCTTTCTTTTCTATGCAGTATTTAGCTTTTTATTTGAGGACTGTTTCATGTCTTAGGCCAACGCAACGCTATTAAAATTTCATTATTTTTAGGAATTGTACCCTCATCAGGTTACCCTTTCTCTCTGCTGAATAAGCCCAGCAAATGCATTGAGTTGTAGTCTGTCTTCTTCATTCTGCAGCAGAGAGCATAGCCCCTCTGAATGCTTTGTGTTTGTTAAAAGAAAAGCCTAAAGATGATGCACATTAAAACCATGTGTGAAAATTTTTTTTTCACATAACATTTATGATAGGAATAGTGTATTGCTTAGCATGACAGTGATCTCTCATCCATGTTAGAGAGTATCATGTAGTTTAAGAGAAAATAGTTATGTCTAGGTTATGTTTCTTGCTGTTGAATAAAGAGTTTGAGAAAATAAGTACTTAAATTCCAGAGGCTAACATGTCCGCTGGTAATAGAAGCATTACCAGAATGAAATTAATTATTAATTATTTTATAATTTTGTACAACCTGATGTACAAAATCATGCAGTCAGCCTTCAGATGAGTGAAACATAACAGCAAATAACTGAGTCTGCACAAATCTCGTATTGTTCATGTGATAACCTTCTCACACATGAATGTAGGATCTCTCCATCTCCCCCTCTCAGAGGCAAGAGTCCACTGTTGACTTGTGGTACAGATTTTAAAACCTTTACTTACTAAGATACAACCATGGCAATCAGTATAATATTGGAGGGTGATTTGGGGTAGTGGACTTTTAGGGATGGTGCAATAATGATGTCTTGTTTTCTTTTTTTAAACAGACAAAGCTATAGAACCATTGGCCTTTACTGGCTAGGTTCCATTACCATGAGCATCATTGTCTTTATGCCTGGAAACATTGTGGGTAAGGACATAATTTATATGACTAACTTTTTCCCGTGAAACGTTTTCGAAATTCACCATTAGGCTATCTGTATTTTACTGCAGCATTAGTTCCTTTCTGTAATAATACAAAAGAGGAATTTTAGGAGTGTCAGTAAAGAGATGCAAGATACTTCAAAATTTAAATATGAGGAGGGGAAGATAGAGACCAGGAAAAAACCCCTTTCAATTTACATTGTTGTCAAGGAAAAAATATGGGTATTTTGTTATACCCATAAGGCTTTCGTCCAAACTAGGTTTAATTTAAGCAATGAGACATAAAATTTACAATTTACATAATAGTCTGACTTTCCAGCAGCTTACAAGAGGCATCCAAATCACCTTTAAAAGTGAAATCTGGAAGTATTCTATTTTCAAAATGAATTTAGCATTCCTACATTACTAACAAAAATCAGTGCATACCTGTGCTGCTAGAGGTTGAGAATTGTAATAAATTTTACATCATTATTACTGACAGGCGGTCCTTGAAGAGTGCCCTCCCTCAGTTAAATATTTCCTTTTTAGCAAAGATTAAATTGATGCAAAGTTGACAGGTGTTCAACTGAGAAAAATGTTCATGGGTCCAAATGCTGTAGACAGCTTTAGAAAAGCTCGCTATGGACCTGCTCTTTATGACAGAGGAGGAATATTCATGGCGCAGCCTGGGGCCAGTCCAGTTCCCTCTTCTGTAGATAGACATGCATCACAGAAAACAGTCAGCAGATTTAAGTCGACAATATCTCTTCCTCTTTCCTCTAAGGAAGGCCAAGAAACTTGTTCTCAAGAGCATGCCTTCTGCTTTCCTTTCTGGGAGAGTAGCCAGTGTAACAGACCGTTTTTCCTGATTTACCTGGGCTGAGGATAGCGCTCTCTATTTTGTCCTCGAATATCAGCACAGAGAAATCAGGACTTTGGAAAACAAATGCAATATCAGATCCTAAAAAGCCGATGCATTCCTTTTTTCCAGTTTTTAGAGAATGATGTGTCTATTTGAAGCAGGTTCCATTAAGAGATTTCAAAGCTGTCCCATCCGATAGGATTACCTACTGCAGAGTGACAGAGGTGGTTTGCTGTCCCCTCAGAAACCCTCTGATTTCCGAAACGGCTTCCTGTCTGATAGGCTCTCTGTCACCTGTGACTCCACCACTATTGAGCACGTGACTTTCAACAAGATTTGTGTGTTGCTTTAACAGCGATTTCTAATGTTGTATGTTTACATTACCATAGCTGCTTCAGGTTTGGTATTAGGTAGGATATTTTTTTATCTCTTCTGCAACACAGCTTACAAATACTCATACATCTTATAATTATTTTTTAACAGGCAAATATGGAACAAAAGTGTGTCCTGCATTTTTCTTAAGTGTACCATATATTTGCCTTCCCATATGGGCTGGGTTCCGAATTTATAACCAGCCTTCGGTGACTCACGACACTCCAGTCAAGGTAATATTATTGTATGTAACTATTGGCTACTGCTAGGACAACTGAAACATGCTTGCTGTTTCTAGTGAGTTGTATAGGTCCTTCAGTGAGCATGGAACGTACTGTAACTGTTCACTGTTAGGACAATTGCTGTCACGCTGTGTAGACACTGTAAAAATATCTATACTACAGGACCATTTCATTATGGTGGGATAAAGAAAAAGCAAAATAATATTATGTTTAAAGAACTAATTTCTCAGTGTAATCGTGTTACTACCCTCTATCTATTCAGTTTCTGACTGTTTCAGTTTCTAAGCTGATGAAAATATTGACATATACCAGCTTCATAAAGCACCACAAAATCCTTAGAGAAGCTCTGCAGGAAAGTATTCTTCTGCAGATGACTTACAGATTTCATGTAATTTAGTAATGTTTCATATGTGCATTCTGCAATATTAGATTTTACAGGTAAGACATTGTACATTAATTGATATGAAAATTATGTACACACTTTTTACTTCTTAAAAAAAATCTGTAAAAAAATGTTTACTTAAAACTCCTTAGACCTTTGCCTTTGAATTTAGTAGTTGGGCTATAGTAACATTAACTGAGCAATCAAAAAATGGACTGTTTTGTAAAAAAAAATCCCTGCAGTACAAAGCACAGAACAGATCTTTAACTTTTTGTTGCTATAAGCAAGCCAGTTTATTGCCACAGCACACCATATCAGTTGTAAGTAATATAATCAATTAATATTTTTGCATCACAAGAGCTCTTAAGTCTCAGTCAGGTTTATTCCATAACTGAAAACATAGACATAGATGAAGCAGGCAGTTCCTATTCCATAGCTAACAGGCAGTCAGTGTGCATGGGGTGAAGCCTCTGGCGTAGATTAACAGCAGTTATTATATTTATATTATTATTATATGATGCACTGACAGATTTTCCCAGACATGTATGAAAAAAAAAACATTCAGCCATCCATCCACGACTCTTCAGTAGGAAATAGAGGTGTAGACAGATGGTCATATCTCCTGAAGTTTGAAGAACCGCTACAGAATCACCATTTTTAGGGCAAATACCCATGAAAGGCAAGCTGGGCAGGACTTCAGGTGCCAAACCCTCTTCTACCCTTCTGCATAGGTTTACAGGAAGCCACATAGAATCATAAGTTGGAAAAGACCTCTAAGATCATCACGTCCAACCATCACCCCAACACCACCATGCCTGCTAAACCATGTCCTGAAGTGCCACCTCTACACGTTTTTTGAACAGTTCCAGGGACGGTACATCAGGCTGCCCTGGGCAGCCTGTTCCAATGCCTGACCACTCTTTCAGTAAATAAATTTTTCCTAATATCCAATCTAAACCTCCCCTGACATAACTTGAGGCCGTTCCCTCTCGTCCTATTGCTAGTTACTTGGGAGAAGAGACCAACACCTGCCTGCCCAGTTCCTTCAGCTGCTCCTCATAAGGCTTGCTCTCTAGACCCCTCACCAGCCTCGTTGCCCTTCTCTGGACACGCTCCAGCACCTCAATGTCCTTCTTGTAGTGAGGGGCCTGAAACTGCACACAGTACTCGAGGTGCAGCATCACCAGTGCCGAGTACAGGGGCACGATCACCTCCCTACTCCTGCTGGCCACACCATTCCTGATACAAGCCAGGATGCCATTGGCCTTTTTGGCCACCTGGGCACACTGCTGGCTCACGTTCAGCCGGCTGTCAGCCAGCACCCCAAGATCCTTTTCCGCCATGTAGCTTTCTAGCCACTAGAATGTCCCACATGTCCCATCCCAAAGCAATTTGAGCTGATTTACATAAAGGCATCAGTAATTGTGACCAGAAACACATTCTTTAGAGTCATCAGAGTAGAGAAGTTAAGTGTAGTTCAAGGTAGTGATGGCGATTTTTGCCATTATATTAGTGAGAAATCCTTTGCATGGAGGATGGATGAAGGTTTCAGTTTATTTTCCTAGTACTGCGGACACCACAGAAATTGCTGTTATACGTGATGGACTGCTTATTTGCTGAAAAAGAGCTGTGTCTCCTATGTTTATCAGGAGCTAAACCACTTACCTAGGTTTGATATTTTACTTCGGTATATATTCCAGACAAACTTTGTTTTAAAATTTTTATTTCAAAAAGAGAGTGCATAAAAAGCTGGTGATTTGAAAATTTAACATTGCACTTCTTACTGAATCCTTTCCTGTAAACCTAAACTTCCTTGCTCAGAAGGTCATAGAAAAAGCCTTGATTCCTTTCACTGAGGCCTCCTACCCTTCCTAAGTAATTTCTTTTTTAGAAGTTGTATTTTATCTTCACAGCTAATTTATGCTCCATATCTGAGCATAAATACCTGGGTTCAATAACTGTATACCTTAAAATGCCTGTAAATCTTAATATGACTACTCACAAATTTTCCTTATTTTTGTATACAACTCTCTCAGTCCTAAATTAAGTGTTCTTTCCAGGAAATAATTGTGCGTAAAGCTACTAATCAGTTAGCTAATTATTGTGAGCCCTGAAAATATTTAGTTCTCTTGCAAGAGATCATTTGCAATTAGCTGTAAGATTGAACTTTTTTTAGATATCATTATTCAGAGTTGGTATTAACAGATTTAGGAAGAAAATGCAATAATGCTTTTAAACATGACAGTGCAAGTATATAGAAAAATACATGAAAGCAGCGGAAGCAAGGTATATTCTGTTGGCCAGGGTATTTATTGCTATAATGCTATTAAAAACCAGTTAGCTAAAAAAAAAAAATAAATCACTGTGGGGACAGAGAAGAGGTAATCAAGTTTGGGGTGTTTTCTAACAGAGGCAGGTGCATGAGAGACGAATGGAGTTATGCCCTCATCTAGAATCAAACCAAGCTGTGCTGCAGTATTTACAAAGCCCAGCAGGTTCATATACAAGTGTACCAGCTCAGAAAAGTTCATTGTAATTTAAAATTCATTAACAGAATTAATACACAGAAATTCAGATCTGCGCATGAATTCTGAAGGGACTGAATTCTATGGACAGCAAACTAGATTATCCCAATTCCTTAAAACTGATCATATAAGAAACCTCTTGGAAGCTGTGGAAAGTAGCTTTTTCCTGGAAGTGAGAGATCCTGCAAAGTGTGCCTACATACTTCCTTGCTAGACAAAAGAAACAGCAGGGTTGGCGAGATCTGTGCAGAGTCCAATGTTGTTTCTAATAAGTGGGAAACCTGTGGCAGGTCATCTCTAGTCGGTCAGTGTACTTGATGCATAATTCATTTTAGCATCTACTGATGTGACTTTGCTGTGTAAAAGAAGGGTAAGGCAAAATGACTTTCCATTATCCTTAGGTAGTCTACACTGAAAATGACTTGCAACTCAGCAGCCATGGGAGGCCTTTGTCTTTCATAGGAGTAAATATTAGAATGTAGATACTCTTTGCAGGTAGTATTATAAACATTCCTACACGAGTACTTTAAATAATGTGAAGTGACACCGTACTGCCAAGATAGATCTGTTATTTGTGTTTGAAAAATGAACAAGGGTGTCACTTTTTTTTCTGAAAAAGATCCTTTGAAAGAAAAATAGAAGTAGTTTTCTGACAGGGATGGCCTATGTATTTAAAATAGCCTTGTTTTTGTTAAACTACAATTCAGATCTTGCAGTTCTTACTCAGGAATTGTGCTTGTAAGATCGGTTGTCCTGTTTCAATAACTTTATTGTGAGTATCTTGATCCTGAGTGCTTTTAACTGTGCCTCTACATCCTAATTATTGTTTTGTGCTTTGGAGACAATTCCACAAGTGTATAACGGGAAGGAAATCAGATTTTTCTTTTGCTGTCTGCGTGCCAACACATGGCTAATAAAAAGGAAGGGGAAATGAGTAACACATACAAATGGGGAAGTTTTTCCTCTAAACTACAGAAAGATACTCTGATGTGCTTATAAATTGGTCTGTGACAAAAGTGCTGAAAAGTCTACCTCAGATTATTTCCATGGGTCTTGTCAGTTTTACTGTGTAGGCAAAGAGATGACTTTGGTTCCTCCGAGCCACCTTCCACATTAGATATCTATGTGGCCTTTGCCACCAAAGAGCACGAACCCCTCGCATCTGCCCATGTGGTGCTGCTTCCTGTTCTGAGGCCGAGGAAAGGAGGCACAGAACCAATCAGATCCAGATGCTCAGAAAGTGCTTCAGCTTTTATTTTATGCCAGCGATACTCCATTAATTTCAATAGTGTCACAGGCTGCTGAAAACCAGCATTCACCACCAGTAATGAGATAGACCCTCATTTTGCTGTCCCTCCAAACAATCCTTTTACAAAGTGTATTAGATACAACTTCAAATGTTTGAGACAAACCTACGTTCCCAAAGTTTTTCTACCTAGGGACATTCAGGAAAATTAATTCATTCCAATTAAAAAAAGGCACAACTTTGAAGAAGCTAGTTATGCTGCTTTAAAGCCTTATGTCATTTTGGAGTTAGAGCAGTATTCATTTGATTGAGGTTGCTTTGAAAGTAAACTAATCTGTATCGGAATGGCTTTAGTTGGATCCATCCATTTCTAGCGTTTATTCAGATTAATTTTGCTCACTGCATCCTATAAAGTCTGAAGTCACCTTTTTAGATGTGGAAAACTTTCTGTCTCTGAAATCAGTGGATAAACGGGGTAATTAAGTGAGAACTTCTTATGCTTCTATCATAATGTCTCATTGTTTGACCCTTCTTGTAGTGACTGATCTGGATTTAGATACATGTCACGTGGAACCAGGATGCACTTAAACACGTTCTGTGTTGCAGGTGGTTCAGGAAGTCCAGAAGAAAGGACTCTTAAGACGACCAATAGATTTAATATTAGCTGCGTACCTTATTCTAGCAATGGGGTTTTGCATATTTAGGGGCATGGTAAGTTGAACATATTTTAATGTTCTGGCCTCTAATTTTCAGTCAAACCTTTACATTTGAAATCATTGTGTCTGTGTGAAAAAGTATGTACAACCTGTGACTTTCAGGGTTGGAACAGGCCTTAGGTATATAAAGGACAATTTGATTATTTATGATAATTAGTGGTGCTTTGCTTCTCCGTTTTGTCCCGTGTGAAGTATGTTTTTCAAAAGCAAGTAGGTGCACCACCACAAGAGTAAATAGCATCCCAAGTGCAGATCAACACGACCTAAAAATTTTTTCATTGGTCTGGTGTTACATTTATGGCCAAGAACATGGAGGCAAACCAACTAAATTAAATCACGTTCTAAACAGAGATGCATAGTTAAAATTAAATAGGAAACCAAGTTAATTTACACTGCATGAGATAGAACATTTCTACCTGAAAAAGCGATTTGTTGATGTTACCTGAACAACACATTGTTTCTATTTACCACAAGCTGATTGTTTAAAAAAATGTTTGCTTTTTAAGCATAGTTGATTGAATGAAAGTTTTTAGGGGAATGAATCAGTACTGAAAACAGTTGAAGTAGATAAATCCAGTAGTAGGTAAATCTACTTCCTTTGTCAGCTCTAAAGCATTTTCTGTCTTAAGCAGAAGGGAAGTTGTATGTCATTCAGTAAACAGAGCTCAAATGTTCAGGTGTCTTAGACAGCCGCCTGCTTGATTTGTAGACCTGATCCTGTCTGGAATAATTCAAGTAAGAGGTGATGATAAGTACCCAAGCAACATTTTATTTACCTAGCGCAGATTGTCCTTTTGTAGTTCTGCTGCTCACATTACGCTGTCATCTTCTGCTGTCTCTCTGAAAACTTGCCTCAAAAATATTTTTTTTCTGCCGTGTCACAGACTGCTTTATTTCTTATCAGTCATTCTACTTCAGAGCACCACTGATGCAGGTTAATCAGCTGCTTTACCTGCAGTTTCACTTTTGTTGATTTTGAGAGTGTGGTCATTTCCTTATGTATTTCGTTTACCAAACAGGCACTGCTGACTGGCCTTTACTTATACACACAGATCAGCTGAGCATCTCTGTGTAAGCTGCAGTAACCATGATTTTGTGAAAAAGCTAGTAAAACGTAATTCATTATAGTCCACTCAGACCGGCTGCTTGGATGCCCATGTTAGAAAAGAACAGGGAGGAACAGCCACTGTTCGTAAATCTTTTCATTCCCCCCTCGAAGTCACACAGCAAATACATGTGAAATGAAGTTGTGCAAAACTGAGCTGTTCACTCCTGCAACTTAGGCATTAACAATGCCTTGCCATAAAACACTTAGTGACAGCTGTTGACACATATTGCTAACTCAGAATAGTATTTTTTGTAGTAGTTTTAAGGGCTGCTATGAAAAGGAACTGCTTTTACAGCTGGGTCTCTCTTCATGTTTATTAGGAACTTTGTTCTTTCTATAGGGATGCAAAAATCCAATAATCTCTGCTTTCCTACTCTCTCTTTAAAATTATTATTTTAAGTAACACCTGTCTCTGCAGTGCTCTCCACTGCTACCTTCCTACAATGCAACTCTTTTCTGGGACTACATCCACAGCTTGCTATCCTACAATTGGGTGCTTAACCTGAAGTTTCCACTATTTGAGCAATTTTCCATTGGAAAGTTCATTTGCTGGGATCAAAGTCTGTTTATCAGAGCAAATCAATAGCAATTACACTTTTACTACAGCATACCCAGCTGACTGAATTCTCATCCAGCCAAAATCTTTAAAGCAGGCTGTCAGCATTTCCTTGCAAACCCTCTGAGCAGGAGCTGAGAGGAGGCTGCATTTCAGCTCTTTAATTGGTGATCGAATGGATCACCTTTGCAATCAATTTTGGGCAAGCCTCCAGGGTAGCAGTGCTGCAGACCGCTAGTGGCTCTTTAGGGCTGATAACAGGTATCAAGTTAGCTCATTTTAGAGCAAATCTTTGTTCACGGGAAGTTTTAAAAATTCTTCTTAGATTTCTCTGGATTGCCCTGCTGCACTCTGCCGGCTATATATTCCACTTCACGAGCCTTATCTAAAAGATCCTGCTGCCTATCCTAAGCTTCAGGTAAAGCATTGACTGTGGAGCATAGAGTGTTAAGTGGTGATTTGTTAACTGGCACAAAGATGAAGCCATGGGTTTCACAGATGACAAGATCAGCAAGGGAAGTATTTGTTCACGGCAAGTTAAATGGTATTTCATATTTTCTACTACAGCCATTACAGGGTACTGACTCTTGTGATACTTAGATTCAAATCAGTTACCTAGAGTTACATGTCCTAATTACTTGGGCTTCTTTTAACATAGTCCATGAAACAGATCTGCATGCTTTTTATGATCATTCCCCTTCCTTAGAAGGGCAAAGTAGACTTTGAGTCTGGAATAATGGAGCAAAAAGGGGTGTAGTAGGACTGGATTCCTTAAGCTCATGTTACACTTCTGTCACCAGTGACACACTCCTTGAAACATGACAGTTTACAAACCCTGTTTACCCAAGCATTGCAGAGGAGGCAATGTTGTGCTTTAGTTTTGTAGTATTGGCAAGGTGTCTGTTCTTTTGCAACCCTGGCTGCTGTGTGGGGCAAGGCCTGAAGCAGCAAGAGGATTCACAAGTGAGGCCATGAGCAGAAATGAAGTATCTCTGCTGGACCTCTTCCTTCTAGAAAAGGGGTGGCGTGGTGTATCTCACACCTCCCAGCTGAAAGTTCAACAGAGCTTGCAAAATGGACACCCGTGTTGTGTTGGGCACCGAGTTAGGTCAAGCCTCACTTACTGGCATGGTGGTAAGAGGGCAAGGGGTAGGAAAACATGTTCTGGGATGAAGAGGATTTGTATAGGCCAAAGAAACACCAGCTGTCAATATTAGTGGAGGCTTAGGGTAGCTGGATCCAGCCAACAGCATCCAGGTGTGAAACTCTTTTCTCAAATAAGTTATAGCTGCAAAAAGGCCTGGGAATCATTGCTGCAAGGAGTGTAGTTTTGAATATTCTCAACTCCTCAATCAGCAGTTGGCTCATTTTTAAATGCATCTCCCTCACCCTGCAAAGCAACTAATATTTCTGTTTAAAATGCAGATGCTGGCATACATGTTCTACTCTGTGCCATACTCTGTGATTGCTCTGTATGGCCTCCTGGTGCCTGGTTGTTCCTGGATGCCTGATTTAACCCTTATACATGCTGGAGGACTAGCTCAGGTATTTCTTTGTAAAATGTTCACTCTTGAATTACAAGTTAATAAGTAGAGAACTATAGAATAAATAAGGGGCCTGGGGCTCAATCTTCCCATGTGGGTTTTATGCCATTGTAACTCAGATCACCTTTTATATCTGTAAAAAACTAATTTAAGGAAGTGGAGAATCAAACCTATTATGTGTCTTTAATGACTGCATTCTTGCTTTAGTAGACTTCCCTCCTTCTGCAGAATCTTTTTATTGGGCTCATTTAAACCTTATTAAGCACCACGCACTCTGTAGCTGAGACCACAAAGGAAGCCTGTATTAAAGCTTTAACAGTCAACTATGTAAAACAACCCAAAACACAACAAAACAGTAAAATACATTGTTTCCATAATATGTTATGGCCAACTAGGTAGCCTGAAAAAGATAAATGGAAAAAAGTATCTACTAGTCACACAAAATGAACAATATCAGTTGATGTTGATACAACACTGGGAACGTCCTGGGCCACAAACCACAGTAACACTCAGACATGCTCATGTTGCTAAAGGCAGACCAATGATCATACTTTAACCCATTCTGTTCTGATTCCCCTAAATAAACAACTGTAGTTAATTTCTAGATGGCACTGATGGTTATGAGAACACTGACCAAACCAAAAAACGTGAAAAGGAGCTAGTAAATGACTTCTCCTGACATACAGATGGCCATTTAGCAGTTGAGATGGTGGCAGTTGATTTGTACCGTACACCAGAAATGCAGTGTGCTCTGAGCACCCAGACAATGCAGAATACACGCACATATTCCTGCAGCAATAATGAGAGCATAGGGACAAGGAAATAAGTGTAATTCAGGTACCACTATTAGACAAACACAGACCAACACTTGTTTCCCAGGCCTTAGATAATAATCATGGATACAAACTACAGTCCAGTTTAACTGCCCACTAAGGATGGGGGAGTGACAGTTTATTTTCTACTTGTGAGCAACTATCACAGAGAATATGTTTTCCTTTTTTTAATTTGTTTTAAACACACCAGTTTATAGAGAATCTTCAATCACCAAATTATATCAAAACAGAATCTGGCAAACATAATAGTGAGGAGGTTTAAATGCTCAAAAAGGTATCATAAATATCATAGAACTGAGTTTGGCCCAAATCTAATCAAAAAAAGCACAAGCTAGCTAAAGTAGGCAAGCCAGTGTCGGGAACCTCTCTCTACTGACAGATCACGCAGGTTTCATGAATTCCCCAGACAGTCAGGAAAGAAACCACTCCTTCAAAGATTATTTAGCACAAGAAGTAAAGCAGAAGTCAGAATGTGCTGACTATCACAATCTTGCAAATTTACCAAAAAGCTCAGCCCTCAGCCTCCCAGACTGGAAGCGATTTTTGTTTATTGGTTTGTTTACATTTGAGGTGGTGTTTTTTTTTTTTTTTACTTTTAAATATTTCCCATAACAGACACTTTTTTTTTTTAATGGCACTTTGTATCTTTCAGTTGTATGATTAATACATGCAACATTTTGTTGCTGAGTGTAAAACCCCTCTGTTGACTCTTGTGGTTTGGCATCAGGATAATGCCGATTTACACATTAGACAAGGAGAAGAAAAGCTACTGGTAACCCAAAGCTAACACTCAAAACTCCTTATTTTACTCTTTAAAGCTTGTCCTAGGCACAAGCAAAAACCATGGGCTGACAAAAACCAAGAGAACTGTATGTTGCTGCACACTCCCCATATTTTATCCTGATTCAAAAAAGCATTTCTAAGTTTGGGCGTTGTTTTTTTTTCGTAGTTTTTACTGTAATGCACTGCAGAATGAACTTCAGTCATCCTACAACTGAACATGATTTAATTGATTTGACTTGGTGAACTGTGAGCAACCTGGGTTGAAAAAATGTGTGACAATGAATTGAAGGCTCGCTTCTCTTGTTTTTGGGTTTGGTCATTTTGAGGCACAAAACACATTTCCAGGCTGGTCTACTGTTTTCTCAAGTTAAAACACTGTAATTGATAGTTAAAACATATGTAGTTACTGAAACACATTTTTCTTTCTATTATGCACAAAGGTCTAAAAAAGGTAAATACCTAATGATGGAAACAGTGGGCATTGCCCCTGTGAATGAACACTGCTCCTACAGATGAGGAATGTGGAGATTTTACTTATTTTTATTTTGATAATCAAAAAAGTCTCAAAATACCATGTGAGGCATCTAAACTAAGAACCTCTAAAAGTGCCTAGCCTTTCACACACAAAGAGAAATACTTACTGGTTTTCAGAATTACACGTAGCTCTCAGCTAGAATTACTCTGTAACTAACACTCAGCCTCCAAAAACAGGCTGTGACCCGTACTGGATTTTCTGAAGCTTCAGGAAGAGTTCTTTAGGTGTCACACAACTGAAATACCAGGAGCTTTGATTACACAAAAGGGTTGGAATAGCCTCTGTGAACTTGCTAAAATTGGCATTTCCCTGTGCACATGAGCCACGAGAAGAGACGAAGAGCTGTAGCCCTGCTACCCAAAACCGTTCTGTCACACCAACTCCATAGCCCACTTCCCTTCCCTGCTCTCAGGTGTAGAAAGTTGTTCTCTGTTGTTTCTCCCACAAAGTGTTTTCCTTAATCCTGCAGTTTCTTGTGGCTAGTTTCTGCAGTGCCTCTTGTCTATAAGAGAACCTAAACCCAAGGAACATATTTTTCTCAGTTACTCTGTCCCCACTCTATTTGATAAGACCTGGTCCAAACCCCTCCAGAATCAGCTACAATCTCTGATTTTCGTCAGTTTTAGAGAGAAGGCACAGAGTGAAGAAAGACTCCTAACCTTTTTCCAGGCCCTTCTCTGTCCCTAGCTGGAGGACTTTCTTGATTGCAGGGTAAGAAATACTCCAGGTACTACCTATGATTAGGCTACAGGCAAAAAATACTGTAAAAAAAAAAATCCAAATTATTTCATACAGCCAAGAAGCCTAGTGAGTAGCAGGCGTGCACAAGTTGCAGTTGTCAAGTTGAGCAGAGCCACGTCCAGCACCAGGCAGCTTCCAGTTGCTGTGGGACAGCCTGATCAGCAGACTGGCCGAGGCCTGGAGGTTAGCAAAGGCTGTGTGTTAGGTGGGTAAGGCCACCTTAGAAGTTTACCTGCAGCATCTCACTTGGGCAATTTCTCAGACAAGGTTTAAGGGTTCGATCCTCAAATTTCTCCACTAGAGAGGCTTCAGTAACAGAAAGCACCAAGGAAAGGCTTACTCACTGAGAGGACCTGGTCACAGCAAGGTAACACAACAGACTCTTGCATACCACAATGCCCACCTGTTGCACAACAGGCACAGAGGTCTGCAGTAACCAACAGCTCTTGCCTGACTGCTTCAAACTGTGGATTTAGTGCAAGTCTGCCTGGTACTTGCAAGAAGAACAGGACTGGGCTACTGGTGAGCGAGAGATCCGCTTTTAAGACACACCCCCTGCCCCAAGGAGGGAAAGCAGAAGCAGAGTCGAGTCATGGAAAGGAAACACATGAGACTAAAGACATAACACAATTTCCACAGAGGCAAATCAAATTAAAATTAAAAATAAAAAAAAGCAACTTCAACAGACCTGAATATCCTCCTTGGTAATGAAAGGAAAAAGCAATGTGTTACATTGAAGAACAAGTCTAGTAATAACTTCATTATATGGTGCATCATTAGCTAGTAAAAATCTTCACAGGCTACAAATACCACAAAATGCTTCTGCTTTTTCTTTTTGTAATACTCAAAGCTCACTAATGTGACACAACTCTTGTAAGAGACAAGACCACAAGTAAGGCTTAGATCTTCGAAGGCATCTAGGAGGCTGTGGGAATTCTGGGTCTCGGAAGCAGCCCCTTACAGCACTTCCTGACAAGGCTTACTATGAATTTACTGGCCATTCTTGGAGACAGGCAGGCCTTGCAATCCTCCATAGAGAAATATGCAGCTTAGCATCTTTTTTTACCCTAGTAGAGGTTCTAAGATACTACCAGGAGGCTGTTAGTGTCTAGGTAACCATTAGCCAGCCCCAAACCTCCTACCTGAGGCCTGATGGTGGCTGGCTGGCTGGCTGTCTTCTCAGGAAGCGGCTGCCTCGTGGCAGAGGCCTTTGCTGCTGAGCACCAGTGCTCTGGCTGCCCGGGCTGCAATGGCTCCCGAGGAGAGGGGAGGTAGCAGGGCTCTGAGCGAGACCACCCTGGTGCCAAAGACAGTTCCTGCCTGAGCCAGGTGAGAACAAACAGGCTGCAGGAGACAGACTGCATTAGGAGGCTGATAGAAAAAGGCTGCTGATAGCAGGCTCCTGAACATCTGTTTACTCTGTAATAGCTATTTACAGAAACATGCTAAGTGGCACTCCGCTGAAGTGTGTTTGTATTTGATTTCTTTGATTACTCCGTTTCCTGACTCAGGTTCGCTAGATCAGCTCTCCCTGTTCAGTGGAGGTGGTTAAAATCACCTGAAAACCCATTTCCTTTTCTGTTTTGATGTATGGTCTCAGCCTAACCTTTTGCTAGGGGGTGTGTGTTAAAACACCTGCACTGTATTTCACTTTCTACTTCGCTCACGGCGAACAGAACTGTGTTCTTTGTGAGTCCAAAATAACACCTGCTGAAGGATGTGGTTTGGCCAGTGTACTGCTCTGTGTTACTAGAATCCTGGTGTCCCTTTCTCCTGCTTTGCTTAAGATCAGATTGATCTTTATCTTCTCAGATCTCCTCCACTGCTAACCAACTAAATAATAATAAAAAAATCGGACACACAATAGTTAATGTGAATGAGCTGTGGCTTGAAATAGCAGGTAACAGATGGAGACAAAAGACAGCGACTATCCTGATGCTTCTATCTTTAAATGTTTGTTTATGCTAAAAATATGTTTCAGCCCAGCAACCTTGTCTTTGCATATAACCTTCACTGTAAGCTTAACCTACACTTCAGAACCACCCCCATCCCAAAAGCCAAATCTTGCAGGCGTTTTCTGGGATCATCAGGAGTGCTGGGATCAGAATCTGGAAGACTGGGTTTAAGCCCCAAACTAATATAGCTTCCAGGAGGTGATTCCTGGCTTTACTCCGAGGGAGCATCTGCCCGCTGCCCCTCGGTGCCGAGCCCAGCGCTGCGGGTCGGTGGGGGTGAGCCCTGCACAGTGCCCATCTCCGCGGTGACGCACCCTTCAGCGGCCATGGCCTGCGGAGCCACCGTGGACCCTGGTGTGTGAAAAATCACCTATAGGCCAAGGGCGAAATCCTATACCTGATGTAAAGATCAGTGCCACCGTGTGCATAAAATAAACCTCCCACCGCGGCAGTGACAGTTCCTCTTACGCTTCTTATGCCAAGATATTAATGACCTTAGTTTAGACTGTATTTTTATACCACTGTGCAAAAGTATGATGGATAATTCTGGAATAAAAGGGCTGGCTTGGAAAATGTTGCTGGAGAGGCACACTTGCATGCAGATTGTGCTGTCTTTCCAAAATATACATCAACTTTACCTTTTTTTAATATATACGTTATATACACACCACAGGCTCAATTTTCCCATATTGGTGCTTCTCTTCATGCTCGAACTCCTTACATCTACAGAGTCCCTGAAGAAGCAAAACAGTTTTTTCTGGTATTGAACATAATGTACGGGATTCTTCCCCAGCTGCTGGCTTACAGGTGTGTCAACAAGCCAGAGTTTTTTATGAAAACAAAACAAGAAGAAAAAACAGAATAGCACAACTGTTCTCAGCTCCTCTTTTTGGCTATGTGTATAATTGGGTTGGGGTGTAACGGAACTGCTCAAATGGAACCCAAATGAAGCGTGTAAGATGTGTAAAATTGGACAATTGTGTAAAGTTGCACGGTCTGTTTTGTTTATCCTACTCAAAAAGGGAAAATAAAGATGACTGCCTTCAGTACCACTTCTCAACAGTTTGACTTTGCGCTGCAGTGGAGTTGCTAGTTCACGTGGCTATTTTTAAGTATGCTGCTTAGTTATAGAAATACTGCATGACGTTAAATAATAATCATGATGTCAGTGTTTAGCCTCCACACGCTGCAGAATCCCAGTGCTCGCAATCCCTACACAGAGCTGCTGTGGAATGTGAAGGTCAACATTTTGAAGTGTCAAAAATCAACGTCCATAACTGTCACATGCACATGGTTTATTCGTCAAGAAGTATGTCTTGTGGGTCAGCCTTGTTAAAAATCCCAAGGAATCTTTTAAGAAGCCATCAACTCTTATGGTAAGACTCCATATATGATAAGCAAATCATAGTTTTGTTAATTCTTTTAAGGATTCACGTCTGCAAGGGCCGCTCATCTCCTCGAGGCGCAGCACGTGCTTCCTAGCACTTCAGAGCGGGACACAGAGGGCTTACTGCTGTGACCGGTCGGGCCTGACACTGTAGCGTGCGTTTTGAGAGAGGAGGGGGTTTGGGCCGTGTTCCTCCCTGCAGCTGCTCTTGCTAATGCTGCTGGGCCATAAACAAGCAGCAGATGATACAGCGGCCTTGCTTTGCGTAGTTTATGTTTCTGTTTGCAATGACACCTATGTCTATGACTTCTGTGTGCATTTATCATACAAGCAGTACCGTTAGTGCCTTTCTCAGTGATGAAACTGGCTGATCCATTTTAACTGGGAACACTTTATTTTGGGATGTTGACTTTTGGGTGTTTTGATATGGAGAATTGTCTTTTTAAACCTAATTGGTAACAAGAAAGCATCAGCTCACGCGCATGCCTGCTGCACCCTGCACAAGGGATTCCAAAGCAGCAAGCGTGCACGCCGCAACGCCCTCCCGCTGGACACGCGGTGCAGCTCACAGCGCTGCTCAGAATTCTGAGAGAGCCCCCGGGCTTGTACCTCCAGCCAAAGGGCCAGGTCCAAAATGACCACAGCGCACCTCAGTCCCTGCTTCTGGGCACAAAGGGACTTAGCAACGACGTCCTCCAGCACCCCGGCTCCCTGGCGCGGGCTCCTTCCGTGTACGCTATAATTCGGGCTAGCTCCATCCCGGTGCGCCCTCCCGAGAGACCAGACCCAGAGCCGGGGGGCTGTGAGAGGACGGGCTGGCTCACCAACGGCCACCGGAGCCTCCGGTGTCACTGCTGAGGTTGTTAAAGAAACTTTGAATACATTCAAGGTGAATTTAATAACCTCCTGTTATCCAGAAAAGGCAAAGTACAGAAAAAATAAAGATCTCACCTGCACTTGTATCTATTATGGTCAACTCATGTTAACAGAATGTTTTGCTTTAATACTTGACTTACATTAATACCTCACATTATTACACGTATGAAGCCAAATATGACGCTAACTTAGTTGCTTACAACCTCAAACCTTACTCCCAATACACATTCCAATAAATTTATTCTGTAAAAACAATACATTTTTTTGTTTCCTTTTTGTTTTGTTTTTTGTTTTTTTGTTGTGGTTTTTTTTTTCATTTTTTACAGTAAACTCGTCAACTACAAACCTTGAATACGCAAAAGATGTTCCAAGGACAAGCATAACAAGGATTGATAAAACCAGACTAAATATGTTTTCACAATAAAAGCTGGCATAAAAATAAATAAAAATCTCTATTATCACAATAGCAACAATAATGTACACAGAATAATGGATTTGGAATGCTTACTTACTAGTCTAGTTCTATTTCTGAAAGGAAAAAAAAGCCAGAATGACAGCATCCTTTTTTAAGCCTTTCATTATTTAAAATCGATGTTTTCTTTTGGTTTCCCATAGGGTTTTATATCACAGTAAGCTTAAAAATGGAAAGCGTCCAAATGAATGGTTTCAAATTGTGTTGGCATTGGAAAAAATCCTTGTATTAATCTAAAGAAACACAAAAAGACTTTCACTAACTCCACATATAGGAACTAAGTCAGATAGTGTACATTACATCATGGTTTTGAGAAGTATCAGGAGTATAACTAGCTAGGTACTTCTAATAAGGAAAGGTATTTTATTACATTATTGAACTTGGCGGTGATCTCAACTGAAGAAGAATTTTTCTTTTATGTTGTAAACTGATCAAAACCCAACAAAGTATGGATATAGGGAAATTTAAAATTATGTTTGTAGGTGGAAGATATTGTAGTCTCATATGGAGGGGACTCATTCCTAAGATTTACTTGCTTTTACAAAAACGCTGATTTAGAATGACAGAATTTGGAGTTACGCCTTTTCTGTCTAGAAAAGGAATCTAAAACATGTTCAAGTATGCAATATCTTCATAAACCTCAGCCACCGGTAAAGGGCAACTTCATGCAACCAAATAGTATGAAAATGAAAAAGTAACCCTTAGAAAAAAGGGTAGAATGTCGTTTCTGCAAACACAACCGATAGGAATGTGAATAATGTGCATACAAACGGGGATGCTGCTGATGTACTAATGAACAGATGTGGCGACTCATATCAAATCCAAGAATATTAGACAACCAAACATGTAACCTTCTTGTGTTTTCCCTTAATATTCAGCAGTCATTATGTTGGTTAAGTCTGAAAGAGAGAGAGAGAGAAACAAAGATCACATTTAATGTAAAACAAAGCATGCTGCTACGAACTTCACAGAACTCGTGCCACGTTCCCACACTTCAGAGCCACAGGTACAAGCGACCACCTCGTCTGCTTGAACAGAAATTTTTTTTCTAGAGAAAACTGCTTACATTACATCGGCGGAACATAGCCCCACAAAATACACAGTTTAAAAGTAAACATTTAGGGCTTTATTCAGACAGGCAGCTCCAGTCATGTACGTGGGCTGGTTTGTGTTTTCCCCAGTCACTTTGTTACGAATCTGACAGCACACCTCGGGCACAACCAAACTCTGCGTTTTTCCACTACGCTACATCAGCACCACGCCTGGTGCGGCCGCTCGGGCAGTGCTGCTGGCCCGGGCGCCTGGCGGTGAGCACACCCTTTTGTTCAGAGAAAGGGACACCGCGCAAGCGTGCAGAGAGGGAGGTGAGCAGTCTTCGCAGCTAACAAGTCTGAACGTTGCTTCTGAAGAGGAGACAGCCTGGCCCCGAGTTCGCTGTGAGGTGATGACAGAAGAGGAAGAAACTCCCACTTCACGACGGAGCCAAGGTCAGCTCCGGCTTCCACTGGCACTGGTGGGAGCAGGATCAGACTGTCTTCACTGATACGGCACGTGTCTCCGAGTCTCGGTTTCTTCACATTCAACAGAGAGCAAACCTCACCTACAGGCACAGGGCCACGCTACGTTTGTCCAACAACGTGAAGACTTGCAACGCTACGTGACTGCCTAACCCCGAGCAAGACGTCCCTTCTCCTTTGTGAAGAATGCCACCCACGCCCTGATGGACGGACACAAATACGATACACAAGCAGTACAAAAGACTTCGTACTGCATTTGGTGCGATCACTATCAAGGAATAAGCAGGGGGGTACGGCTTAAATCCTCTGGGGATGATGCACTTGTCATTTTACACAGGATCTGGAGGAGGGTATGAGAAGAAGACGCTTTAACACCCCTGCAGTAGCCATTTACCGCCTAAGCTCTCTCCCTCTGGCCCATCACACCTGCTGCGTGCGATGCCATGGGTGCAGCGGCCTGTGCTGCTCCATCCGGGAGGATGGGAGCTATGAGAGCCCGCTCAGCAGCCGGGGATGCCCTGCTGCTTGCTGCCCCTCTGAGCTCAGGGCTGTGTTCAGAGCGGGTCTGCTCTCCTACGACAAAGGGTTTGCAAACAGTAAGTAACGGAAACCGCACTTTCCGTGTGGGAGGTCCTGGTACATCCTGACTAACGACACATGATCGGGGGTTATTATAAAATGCTTGTGCGTGTGATGACGAATTACAGGAACTGCCGGAGCCCTGCCTCCCCCCCCGAGGGTGTAGCAAGGGCTGCTCATCCATTGACTCTCTCCTGTTGCAGAAGAGATGGGATTACACTTCCAGTGCTTCGGAGACGTGGCCTGGAGCTGTTCACTGCCGGCTAGGGAAGCGCAGACACCCATTTAAAACAGCTACCACCGATGAGTCAGTCAGACCCTGCCTTCTGCTGAAGCTCCTCATGATGGCTGCTCCCCGCGCTGACAGGCAGGGCGGGCGGTGGAAGAGCCCCCATGCCATCGCACTCGGCCCGGCTCAGGGAAGCCGTCCTTTCCGAGGGCGAGTCCTTTGCGCTTACTGACAACAACTCCCCTCGGGGCTGCGGCCAGGGGACGGGGTGGGCACGGCGCTGACGCAGGGCGCTGGGACTGTGGATACTCCCGCTCCCCGCTGCCTCGCAGATGGCCCTGGTGGGTGGGCCACAGCGTGGCACGGGGGGGACAACAGAGAGCCAGGTGTGCAAACCACCCCCACGGATTTTCACCGTTTCCAGCACCACCTTCGTGTGCAAAAAGGCGCTGCCAGCCGCCCGCCGCCGCGGGCACTGGACGAGGACGCGGCAGAGCTGAGCAGTTTCCATGGTCTCCATGGTTTCACGTCTCTTCAGAAACAGAGCAACTCGCATCATTTTGTCTGCAGAAGTCTCTCAGCTTTACTGTACGATCCGGTGCGACGTGTGCCGCGCTGACCAACGCTACCGCACACAGAAGAAACAGCACAGAATCTGACTGATGCGAGTGAAAAATTTCAGTCATCAATAAAACCGAAGGACAGGGAACACAGAGAGCAGGGAATAAAACTAAACCCACAGACGGCTTTGTTTTTTCTGGCACTGAAAATTCCTTCCTTAGCAGTGCCTGGCAACTGACTCTGCCGTCCTGTCCTTTACAGGCTCTTGCTGGATGGGCAGAAGGATAATTATTTACTTGCTCTGTATGATCATTGTTATTCTATGTTGGTTTGAGGTCAAAATGGTTACAGGATTCAATGTACCCAGAGATGCAAAGAGTGTATTTCATCTCTACGGCTGCTTTAATCTCTACTTTTATGGTTCTCCTGAGTTATGTCCCCTTGCCTGACTTCGTGGTGCTGTTACCTGGAGCTGCGTGAAGGCAGCAGACAACACACCTCTTTGCACCTGGGAGCATGCCACTAGTGGAGTTTTTACCTAAAAGTTTTTACTGTGCAACAGTTAAACACATTTTTACAAATGTTATCTTTTTTTGGAGGGGCAGAGTTTAACTTACCTCAAATTGCAGAAATACACACTCTGTTTTCATTTTCTGGAAAAATGCCCACATGAACGCTTTTACATTGAATAGAGCCCCAAATGCTAGGCTTTTAATGGCGATAAAACCCCAAACCTGTTACACAGCGTAACCAATGTTATTCTCAAGAAGTAAAGAAGGAAGAGCAAAGGAACCAAACGTCTCAAAACCACATCCGAAGGACACCATGAACCTGCGTTTCTCTGGCCGGTTTGGCCGTAACACTTGTCTTCCACAGCAGTAACTGGAATTGTTGCTACCCCACAAGGCATCACAACAAAAAATACGTCCTGGACACTGGCTGTTTTAAATATGTTCTCCCAATTGCAATAGTATCAGATGGCAGTAATTTTGGACCAGATTTTGATCCCCTTATTCATGCTGGCAAGCAGTCGCTTCCACAAATAGATCCACTGACTCCCATGTTAGTAACTGATTGTCAGCGTGAGTAAAAAGATCACAGTCCTTTAACCCACTTGAGTAGTCAAGCTGTACCAGGCGCAGAAAAATGTGTCGAATTTCCAGCAAATCTATTACTTTTCAAAGACTCAGTAAAATCAGTCACCTGCTGAAAGGCAACCACATGCATCCCTACACAAAGAGAATGAATGCCTCCTTTACCAACACGATGGCCGGACTGTCACTAAAATGATGAATACCAAAAGAAAAACTTGCCACACCCCCCGAGTGCTGACCTTCACACTCAAACGCTCTCTGACGGGCGGGCACTACAGGCAGCTTCCAAACGTCGTTACATGGGTATCCAGAGAGGAAAAGCACACAGCAGCTTAGGTGTTCAGCTACAAGGATTCAGCGTTTTGCCAGCCAAGAACCAAACACACCAGTCACTGGAGATTTAAATGTGGAATGTAAATCTGCTGCCATGAATTCACTGATTTATGAGCCAATTTTGTGCCACAGAGAGTAAACAACACAGAGCCATGAATACCTTTCCCAGGAATATTCCGTTTATGTGGTCTTTTGAGAAACCCAAACAGTAAATGTAGTATTTAACGGCAGAGGACTGCCATGGGGGGGGTTCTGTGATTCTTGACTTGAGCAAGCTCTGGGATGGGCAGTCTTAGCTAATATATTACTAGTTAATTACTTTTAGATAATAAAGCCCTGAGGTGCAGGCTTTGCATCTTTTTGCAGAAGGAATCAGCCAAAGAACAGCAGCGAGGGAAATGGCTTGAGAAACAGGTAGTGGCAGGACACAAATGTAAACTGTGGCCGCATCTGAGGAAGCGAATGTCTCTTCTGTGGAGAGTGCCTGTAGTCCTCAAGAACAGTTGAGGAACTAAGGGATGGAGATAAGAAAAGAAAGCAGATTTTTCAACCCCAGGGATAGAAAAAGAAAATCACAAGTTGAGCCCTTGAACAGTATGAAATTGGCTGAAAGAATATGATAGCTTTGGAAGTACTTTTATTTGCTCTGGGTTTTGAGTCTTTAGGAAGCCATCGCTTCACATTTTCAAGCTTTCCTCTACCACCTGGAGGTTAGAAATTTCATTAAAAAATGTGGGCGAGAATGCTCCTGCAATCATTTGACTTCAGCCGTTAACCCTTCCAACACATCCCCATAATGCCGAGGGCGAGCGTGCGATTAGGAGGCAAGACTCCCTCTGCTCGGAAGAGGGGGGACGGGTCTTCCGCCCGCAGTCCAGGCATTACGAAGTATGGCCACTGCCTCACTGCAAGTAGCATTGTTAGGAGAGAAGCTGCTGGTGTCCTCTCTGCAGGAGCGGAGCCCACTGCCCCCCGCAGCCCTGCCCAGCCCCCACTGCCGGCATCTTTCAAGCAGCCAGTCACAGCGGCAAACCCCAGGGAATGAAACACACTGATCTCTCCGGTATTGTCTCGTCTCTTCACCTTCCTGGTACCTTTCTCCCAGTACCTTTCTCCCTCATGAGGTTCAACAAGGCTGAGAGCAGGGTCCTGCACCTGGGTCGGCGCAACCCCTGCTATCAGTACAGGCTGGGGGATGAAGGGATTGAGAGCAGCCCTCCGAGAAGGACTTGGGGGTGCTGGTGGGTGAAAAGCTGGACGTGACCCATCAGTGTGCGCTCGCAGCCCAAGAAAGCCAACCATATCCTGGGCTGCATCCCCAGCAGTGTGGGCAGCAGGGTGAGGGAGGGGATTCTGCCCTTCTGCTCCGCTCTTGGCCAGAGGAGGCCACAGAGATGACCTGAGGGCTGGAGCACCTCTGCTGTGAGGAAAGGCTGGGAGAGTTGGGGCCATTCAGCCTGGAGAAGAGAAGGCTTTGGGGAGACCTTATTGCAGCCTTTCAGTACTTTAAGGGGGCTTATAGAAAAGAGGGGGAAAATCTTTTTAATGGGGCCAGTTGTGATAGGACAAGGGGCAATGGCTTTAAACTAAGGGAGGGTAGATTTAGACTGGATAGAAGGAAGAAATTTTTTACAATGAGGGTGGTGAAGCATTGGAACAGGTTTCCCAGAGAGGTGGTCGATGCCCCATCCCTGGCAGTGTTCAAGGCCAGGTTGAATGGGGCTCTGAGCAACCTGGTCTAGTGGAAGATGTTCCTACTCACTGCAGGGGGGTTGGGCTAGATGACCTCTAAAAGGTCCCTTCCAACCCAAAGCATTCTGTGATTCTGTAAGTCACTTGAAAGCAGCTCTCCCTGGTGTGGGTTGTGGGCAGCCCAGTGCCCCCGCCCCAGGCAGCGGAGTGGTGCCGAGTTTGGCAGGCAGGAGGGCCATGCCGAGGGTGGGCAGCTCCAGGCCCACGCCACAGAGGGGGAAGCCCACCTCCCACAGACTGCGTGCGGTTCTCACAAGCAAAATGCCTTTAAAGAGACCCTAATCTCATCTGTGCTGGTGGCGACTGAGACACTCTTCTGAATTCCTCCGTGTGAACAAGAGGAGCCTATCCCAGCTCTGCAGCCATGTGTTGGTGGTTTTCAACCTTCGTTTCCACACAAGAGAAGTTTAAGTGTGCGGGCTGCAGGAGCGCAAGGCCCTCCAGCAGACTCCCAGTCTGGATGTCCCGCAGAAGGTGGCCGCAGGCCAGCCGGCCCTGTACCCCCCGAGGTGTGACTGGCTGTGTAACACTGACTGAAAAGCACGAATCTGATTACTCCTTCCCCGAGCGCCTTGTGTCTGATGAAGGCGTACCTTCTACAAAGACACCCTGGGCTGGCTTGGAGGACACCAGGAGATGGAGTGTCCCCTCCTGGTCCTAGAAGAGAATTGCACTACTGGCAGAATTGGAAAAGAAACGCTGAGGAGGATTTACATGTGCAATGCTGATTCTGCGGCAGAAATGCCCAAGGTGAAATGTCTGGACCAGGATGCAAATTTCTCCAAACTTAGCAGTGCTTTTACCTCAAGCTGTCCTTGAACCTGTCTCTCCACCTCTCTTTAGTACATGGTACTAAAGCTCCACCTTCCCTGTAACGTTAAAAGCACCCAAGACCCAGCTGAAGACTACGTTCAAGGGGGAGGTTGAGCCCACACGCTGGGGTTGCAGAAGCCAGAGCAGAACCAGCTCCTCATGTGGGTACGACAACGCTGACTGCGAGTGTTTCGGTGGAATTGGTGCTGGCAGGAAGGGACGGAGACTGTTGATGTATGTCAGCACAGGGGCTCCTGGAAACCCTGCAGAGCACTACCATGTTCTCGCACGCTAGACTCTACCTCCCAGCAGTTACAAGCATGTCACACACAGAAGGATGTCACCAGCCACAAAGCCAGTATCCTAGGTGATTTTTTAGCCACTTAATTTGCAGCTGACCTAACTCCATAAGCATTTGGTCTGTACATGGAGAACATGCTTGAAGTTCATAGACACATCCCCCGTCACTGCCCGCCTGAAGCTCTGGCCACCTCAGACGGACCTTACGCCAGTTTTCGCACTCAAATACCAACCTGAAGACACGGAAGTGTCACAGGGCTCACTAGCCAGAATGTGGGCAACACCTTCACTACGCACTCACCACACTCCTCAGCCCCAGGCTCTCGGGTTCGGCGGGCGCGGGGCTGGGGAGGCACAGCCCAGCACAGCGTCTCCTGGCGTCAGTCTCCGGCTCAATGCAGCTGCTGGTTCAGAGCGAACGGGAGAGGGTCAGGGCACATGGCCTTCCTGACCCCCCCAGCCACCTACCAAAGCGTTTGTCAGGCGAAGAGCCACAAACCACACACACGGTTGCACAGAGAGACAAGGGGAAAGGAAGCTCTGGGAGGAGTCTTTACGCGGGAGACGACAGCAGCTCCCCAGAGGTTGTCCTGTGAGAAGGGGCTGAGGCTGAGCACGCAGCTGGGTGCTAAGGCACCTCGCGCTGTCAGCTGAGAGCCTGTGCTGGCTGCCTTCCCCTCACACCTGGGGATTCGTGTCACTCAGCAGCTCCGGGGACAGCCCGGCCCGGCTGCTGGCCACGTGGCAGCGCCTGGCCTGGGAACCGCACGGGAACTGGTGCTGAGCCGGGGCTGGCAGCGCTGCAGCAGGGAGGCTTGTGCTGCTCCCAAGGTGCAGAAATCACAGCGCTTGTTAAAGGCGGCTGACAATTAACCAACTCCCAGGCCAGCCGCCCCGCTCGGCAGCCTTCCTTTCTGTGGCTGTGGTCACAACAAAATGACATTGACACGAACACATAGCTGACACAAACAGACACGAGGAGATCACATCAACCTGCCCTGAAGCAGATGGTCTGTCCCCTCCTTGGCAGACCATATCCCAAGCAGGATCTGCTCTAAAACCCAGCGTACACAGAGTCTGCAGTGTGCACTTGAACCCCATAAACTCCAGAGAAGTCAGTGGGATTGCACAGATTTTAAATGAGTGTGAAAGGATCAGCAGGCTCCCACTGTTTAGAGAGCCCAAATGCACTATGCAAACAGTCTGATTCTGCTCTCACATCAATTTTGCATCATTCCAGCTCATGGTTTTCAGCAGTTACCCTCAGCTGACATCCACGGAGCGCTGGAACAAAAATCATGCTTATAGTATCTTTTCTCATTCAGTTGTTTCTCTAGAGCAAAATTTGTACCAGTGCAGGGTCCAGTCCCTTGTTTCTGTTCTAGACACATTCTGAGCACTGAAACGCAACGTCAGAAGGCTGCACGTGGTACGCACGGGTCACTGCAACGCAGCACCTTTCACCCCCCGCGCCAAAGGCCCCCAGCAGCGACCGCGTGGGAAGGGAAAGATATGAACAGATTACCCCTTCACTGGTTTTCTGCAAATCTGAAGAAGTGTTTCTTGTGTCGTTGCCTGCGTCCCCAGCATCAGAGCTGCTCTTATTTTCTTCCTCTTTGCAGTCCTTATCATCTTCATCACCAGGAGATTTCCGTGACTGCTTGGAGGATTTCTAAAACAATCAACAACAAAGTTAAAAACTGAGTTTCGGCCACAGAAAGACATTTCTGTGACGTATGCGAAATCCTGTCTGATCACGTGGTTCCCTGTTCCAGGTGAGTACTGGGGAGGAGATGTGGGGTGAAAAGTATTTTTAAGGTGAAGTAGTTGGAGTTACTGCCATCACTGAAGCAAAGGGAGTTCTGTGTTCACCACAGGTCAGCAGCGCAGCTGAGTGTGAGACAGACACAGTAACAGGAGATGGGTATTAGTGCTGGCTCACCTGTAGGGTTTGTTAGTTAATGAAACAGATGGTGCCAGCTTGACAAAAGGTTTGATTAAACACAGAGACGTAAAATGAGAATAACATTAGCAGAGCTGCTTTCCATACTTTTTTTAGTGCTGTCAGCTTTAATATATTAACATTAAAGCCATGTGGAACCAATACATCTTTTCTGCTCCCTTTATGTTATGCAATTCTACAGTACAAAAGGCTAAATTGTGGCATTAAGCCACCATTTTCCTAATCCTCTGTTTGCCCAGAGTCTTCTGGAAAGAAGATGGTAGACCAGACCTGAATTTCTAATGCAAAACACACAACAGGGGTGAAATTACTTCATGCATTTTGTTCAGTGGATGAACCACAAAAACTCCTGCTTTCTCCCAAATTATGCCTGGATCACATTGTTTGCTTCCTTCTTTTAATTTCATTTAGTTTTCACTTTCAGAGAAGAATAACACGAGTGTGAATGCACATGACTCTGCCACACTTTCCACAACTTTTTAAGCAAAGTACAGACCTGGAGGCACACAGAGAACTGGAGGAAGTGGCCATAATGTTGCTCCCTTTCACCCAGGTGAGAAGCGAGAAGCGTATCTGAACACAAAGTTGTCACTGCGCAGGTGATTATGTTCACCAGCCATTATGAGGCAGTCTAAGACACATGACTCTTATGTTCCTCATCTACGCTGTTACTGAGATATTAACAGGTCAGGTAGGTCTTCTGTCTACAAATTGAGTGTCCTGCTGCCTGCTCAGTGAATTAGTTCTTCCTCCCTCCCACTCTGTATCTTGTACTGAAGTATTCTACACTCAGCTACAAGAGGAGCCGCCCAGCACACCTGACCCTACCACATCTTTTAGCATGGCATCTGGGGCACTCGCACTGGGGGCAGGAGAGGGAAGCTTGAATTCTCCCAGAGAGGAACCAGACCTGAACTCCTGTCTCCCAGGAGGCACAGTCCTAAGGCTTTTTTTGCCCTTCGTGGGGAAATACCTATCCAAGATGATCAAACCTATCAATCCATCTTTGGGTGGATTTTCTTCCCAGCCCTTCTGAACGCCTCGCCATACTTGCACCTCTTCTCAAAGTGTGGGCACCAGAACAGGGCAGAGTATTTCAGCTGCTGTCTCACCAAGGCTGCCTACAGAAACAAGCGCACCTCCCTTTGCCTGTTTGAACACCATAGTTGCGGCACTGGAATCAAAAGCTGAAGAAGGAAGAACAGATTGCCGTGAGGTGGACAGCATTCTAATTATAAAAGCACATGGGTAACAATGGAAAAACTCAGAAGATCACCTTTGAAGTGTAGGATTTTTTCCGTTTTGAGCCTGCTTTTTCATTCTTTCTTTTTCCTTTTCCATCCTCTTCTACCCGATCACCTTCCTCCTCACTGCTGGCATCTGCTGTATTTCCTCCTTCTCCTTCAGTTTCTGATGAGCTCTGTTGCTGAATTGCCTTTCAAATAAAAATAAGAGTAACAACATAAACAATAAAAATATCACTAAAATCTATTACTTAATTTTTGTTCTGTACTGAAGACAGAAATCCTGGTAACAGACAGCTGACACTTTAATCGCGGTGGTCAGGAAGAGCTCAGGTCATTCCTGCAATTACCAAGAAAAAGGGCCACAAAGACAAATTTCTCAGTCACCACTTGGAAACGGTTATCAGATGCAGATTTTGGGATTGCATCTTCTGAAGGGTTTACACAGAAACAGAAGATCTGATAACAAAAATGCGCTTGCTGGAGAACTAAGGGCTGCTCCGTGGAGAGGCCTGGCACGTTCTGCTCTGGGCAAAGCTACGGAGACTTCTAGACTGTGGCTGCAACAGGAGAGACTCACTCAGGAGAGAAGATGGCTCTTACAAACCGCCCCAGAGGGCAGGATCTCTGTGTTAGGAAAGAGCACACGCTGACAAGCAGGCTGAGAGCTCTTTGACAGTCCGTCTCTCACAGCCTATTCACGAGATTTTTTCAAATCCCCAAGTGTATGCAAAACATCTGTGGGGCTGAAAATATGCAGCGGGAACTGCGAGGGGTGGCAGCTTGTCTGCAGGTGGTCCGTACCTCTGGTTTGTCAGGTTTTGTGCTAATAATGTAATAGGTGTTCGCCTTCTTCTGGAGGTGATTTTTGCCTCCAAAGGGCCCCATTTTTTTAATAAGAAAAGCTCTTTGGTTTTATACAGCCTACCAACTACTCTTCTCTCCCTCCAGCTTCACTGACTTTTGCTCCGGACATCCAACAGGGAGAGCTGTTGTACAGCAGCTACTATCTCCTAACGCCAGCTTAAATCTCCACCTTCTCACCCCTCACAACTTTGGCAGTGGTGTCCTACGTGTTATACATTACCAATGTAAAAATCAAAAGTGCAGTGACCTTAAGGTCTGTGTAAAATACACTGAACCTGATATAAAAATAAACAACAGAAAGAAGTCAGAAATTATTCATGTTTATATTGGAGTAAATAAAACCTTCCATTTTTAATTCAGCTAGATCTGCTGCAGAATTTTCCACTTCACCACCCCAGAACATCACAGAAAGCAAAGGGCTCTGCAGTACGATTAAAGTTCAATTTGTCACAGAGTGCAAGACCAGAGCTGTCTTTACATTACACAGTTACAAAAGCTGTGAAACTTTCTAGCTCCACCAGACCCAGGACCTTCCACACCACTCGTACAATGTTTACACCGACAAGCAGTCTTCAAAAAAGAAGACAAGAAAGACAAGGAGGAACAGAAGTGAAAGTCATTTACCTGATATCCAGTAAACTTTACTCCAGGGTTGTTTTCTATTTCCCACAGGCCTTCATTAAATCCTTTTCGCTTGTTCGACTTCCCAAACTTATCTTTATATTCTTTATACGGGAAAAGGTCTTTGGGTCCCAGGAATGCACTGCATTTTAACAAAGGTAACATTGGAAAAAGGATTTCAATTTCTCCTCTTCAAAAAAAACAAAACCCATTAACAGTGCAAATGTCTTCCCTATTCTTCTGCTCATTCCATAATTTTTTTTTCAGTTTTATTTGTTTGTTTGTTTATTTTTTTATTTAACGCACTGGCTTTGAGTTACTGCTGTGAGTCCGATTTAATGGACTGGCTCACCATCCTGATGTTTGATGTTGCAAAATCATGCTGGGTCTCTCTAGAAACAACAAAACCGAGTCTCATTTATTATATTAACTACTGCTGGGAACTGGCACTCGAACGGTTTATGAAAGGCACTGTATGACGTAACTGCCTGCGATAGCAAGGGACCAGACCTCCAATCCTGTGTTTTACAAACCCAGAAAGGCCTAAAAATACCGTATGAAAAGTTAAAGCATGTGAGGAGTGCCTAGAACCCACAAGCCAAAACGCGTCCCTTGTCCTACTGGACAGAAAAAGCAGTGGCATTTATTCTCCTCTATACTGCCAGTAAGCCTGTGAGCTTCTTTCTTGGCATAAGCCCCCCACATGCTAGATTCTGTGTGAACACAATAACACTACTCTCTCCCAAAAATCTTGTAATTTCATATAAGACAAGAAACAATGGGTGAATATAGGCAGATGAGTAATACAAGGAAACAATGAGACACACAGGGTGCTTGTGGCCAAATCATTTTTTAGACAGCACAGCAAAGGAGGGATTTTGTGCTCTGCTGCTGCATTAAGTCAGCTACGCACTGGGCCAACCAATTTCAGGCACAGGCAGCACAATGCAGGGAAAAATAATAATAAAAAAAAAGAAGAGTGGTGATTTATCCTGCTTTTTCTACATACTTTACAGCAAAATTCTAACTTCTTACGTAAAACTGAAGAAAGCATAATTTCCTTTTCATTGGGTATCTATATCCAGTGTGTTTACTGTGCTCTGTATCACGGTACTGGGATGGCTAATTGTAAGTGAAATTAAAAACAGTGAAGGCAAAAACCCCTTCATTCCCACATGGAAGATTCTATGTCGCCAATGACCGGAGCTGAGCAAATCATGGTCTCCTTCACTACAATCACTGTCCTACTTTCCTGATGATCCCTGCAATTAATGTTAACTCTATGGTCTCAATTGCCATGGGATCTTGGAGCTCCACCACTTACAACACATTTATTCTCGTACCATCAGCACGAGGTTGGGAAGTTGCCCTTTTTTGCAGACAGGCTGCTGAGGCACAGAGATTTGGCCAAGGTCAAACTCAAACTGATAGCAGAGTACAGAGGAAAACCCAACTCTCTTCAGTCTCAGTCTACTACCTTACCCACAGGATCACATTTCTTCCTTGCTGTAAACATCATTTTAGATTAATGCCTGATTTATATCCTGATTCTTCCAAGCATTTATGAATGTGCAAAGTTTCATTCACTTAAACCATCCCACTGGCCAAGAAGTTTGCCAGTACAGAGACGACTGGTGGCTAAAGGCATCAGATGAGAAGCCTCTGGGGAAAGAGCTTCCTTTTAGCTGCGCAGGAGACGGAATGGTATCCACACTCAGTCGTCGCATTGAGAAATATCTCAATTATATAATTACAAAGCCAAGAATGCATTTCTACCTGAAAGCCAAGCAGTGATTTCCAAAGTAACAGATGTCTTATTAATATTAAAGGCTAAAACAGAGCACGAGTTCTGCATACATTATTTTATCTATGCTTCTGCTAGGAGATGCCTCCTTGTTGCCAAAAATACATACAAACAGTTCTACCACCAATAACAAACTGTATGAAACTTACAATAAGCTGCCTTAATTTACCTCAACAGTAATGTATGGAAATGTTTCTACAGCCTTTATGTATAGTAAACACTGAAAAACTGTCTACATCTTTGTTTGAAATAGGTTCATTGCCACTGGGAGAGTAGAACAGTTTCCACTGCTCTGCTATAAAACTAAGGAGCTGCAAGCCACAGTTCATTTTTAACAGTTATTTTTTTTAAATTATTAAGGTATTAACTACAAACTATTTTCCTGTTTCAGATGTTACAGTCAGATCATGGGCTAACAAAACCCAAACAAAAGGAGATTAGCAGTTTGGGATTCACTCATTTCAGAACAAAGGTGGTCAGAGTCTTCTTCTCAAAATGTTTCTCCAGAAAAATGCTTCCATTAAAAAAAAAATATTACATTTCGGTTTCTGATTTTAAAGCATCATTAGTGTATATGAACTTTTCTCTTTTTGGATCATTTTGTGACAGTAGTAATAGATCTCAATACATCCAAATATCAGGTTGTTTCATTACAGTGATAGGAAGAAATATTTTAACTAAAGAGAGGCTATTTTGATCGTTATTAAGCAGAAATTGCCTTTAAAGATTTTTACAACAAAATGTGATGTATGAGCTATAGGGCTTATTATGTTCTGGAATAATGTCAAAATTTAAAATTAAATTTTTTTAATACAGCTTCAAAACTCTAAAACTGAATGTAAAATGTAACCAGAATTTCATTTTTTATTTTTTCAATTTTTTAAGGAATTCTAGAAAATGTTTTCCCTGCAAGTGGGGAAGGAAAAGTTTTAAAATGTAAACATTTAATGCAAAATGGAAATGGCAATTTATTTTTTTTAACTGCCTCAGACATAGTTTAAAATAGGCATGTACATTATAATTTTGGAACTCTGTACTGTGTAGCCATTTCTACGAGACCTAACTCACCCTTTCAGTTCTGGTTCCCTTCTTTCCCTCCGAGCTCAGCCAGCTCAGGTCCTCCATCGCTCCCGAGCGCTCGCTCCTACAATATCCCCAGCACAAGTCTCGCAGGCATGCGTGTGTTTCACAGCCATGCGAGGGCCGCTGAGACTCTGGGGTCTGCTTCCTTTCATTTTACAAACTACCTAGCGAGCCCTCACTCAGGACATGAACACAGACGTGTCGGAATACAATAGTCTGATCTCTGCTATCATGTATATCCAAGTAAAACATTTTGCTCCTGCATCTGAGTTCAGATGACCCTTTAATAAACTTATGTCAACACTTTTCTTTACGGGAAACACAGGCACTGGTTATTATTTATGCTTAGACCATGGTATACGATCCACGCAGCAGCATTCCCACCCACTTTCAGGTTTCACTTCCACGTGTTAGTACAAATGAGCTGGGCTCGTAGGACCTATCTCTAGGCTCCCAGTGGCTTCAGTCAGGATTTGTTCCAATAAAATCAGCGGAGATGACATTAGCTGCAGTAGAAGAAGACATTTTCAAAGGAAAAGATTGTGTTCATTCACTTACGTTTCATGAGTCCCAAAAAAGAAGATGGGGTATTTGTTTGCTGGAGGCTTCACGGCTCCTTCAGGGAGTTCATCAATCTGTGAGACAGAAATGGAAGAAGCATTATTCTCAAATGTGGTGTCCCTCGTCCAAGAACCCCTACCAAGCCATGGCAGTGCTAGTGCAGGTATCTCGCACCCCTGGGAGGTCCCACTCGGTGCTGGGGTGGGGAAGGGAAGATGGCTGCTGGGTTTTCAGGCAGGCAGGTCATACAAAGTCAGCATATGACAGAACCACTACAGGGAGACAACAGAAGACCAAGGAGCAGACAAAAAGTTTGAATGATTTCATGGGCATTATAATACACAAAGGCAGTAAAATCAAGTCTGCTTAATTTAAATGTTAACTTTGGATGCTGCCTCACCAAAGACACGGCAGAGCAGAGGGTAACCCTGCCTGTCCCACACAGCCACCTAAATAACTTCTGCAACAAACGGGGAACAGATGGCATCTCTGAGCCTCGGCAGCCGGAAAACCGGACAATCTCTCACCGGTGCTTCCTGGTGGTGATGGTGGTACCCGGCGCAACACACACAACGCACACCAGGGAAGAGGGCCGGGGACTCTCCTTCCCCTGCAGCACCCTAGTAACTATTTTTGGTCATCGCTCCCCTCTGTACCCCATCTCTTCTTTCACATTTTATGCCCAGCCTCATATTTCTCAAGATAGAGCTGCAGAGCAGCTAAGGGAGGGGTGGTGAGGGTGCTCTCCTGAGACGTAGCCAGGACTGGGACAAAGCCTCACGCTGAGCAGCGCCTAGACCCGGTCTTCTGACGCCTGAGAGCGTTGGTTGCGAGGCTGGAGGTTAGGCCCACGACTTAGCCTTGTCCATACCTAATTTTTCAGTCTTCTGCAACAGAAATAACAGAATCCAGGTGCCTACCCACATAAACCAGAAACACAGCATAGCTTTAAATAACATCTCAGTGCCTGCCTTCCCAGAAATGGCACTTCTGAGCATATGTGGGCACCTAAAGCTAAGCGCCCAGCGAACTCTCCGGCTAAGAAGAGGAAGCCTAATGAATCTAGGTATCCATAGGGCAAGACCAGAGAGCATGTGAACGGCTTGCTGCCTGGCTCTTAGGCAATTGAATATCAACACAAGCACAGTGAATCCTGCCAAATGTCACTGGAACTGAGAGCAAAGTGCTGACATACCAATGCTGGACCAAATCTGTTCCTCAGCAGAGCACGGGGATGGAACCTGCATGTTTTCACTCAGGAGGCCAGGCCCACATGTGCTTTCCTTCTCTCTTCCTGACGAAGGACCCCAAAGACTGAATTCTTATTGATTAATAAACACCAGATTGTTTTCCAAAGATGTTCTCTTTCACTGTAAAGCATCTGCTGGCTACGTAGCTCTCAAAGGAGTACGAGCTTTTATAAGAATCCAAGTCCTTTTGGTCTTTCTGCAAGGACACCCGTTGGGGACGGAGAAACCAGAGCCATATGTGGAGCTGTAACATCACAGGACTCCTTTCTGCAAAAGAAAGGGACGCCTATCTTTTAGGTCAAAGTGGAGCATTCCCTGAAGCCATGTCAAAATCAGGGGATATAAGAGCACTTCCAAACCACTCCATATCTCTTTTCTATGGCAAGACCCAGGGGTACAGATGGTGGGGCTTGGCATACCGGGCCGTGTGTCGCCGTGCCCTCCCTGCCCAGCATGGTCTGCAGGAGACAGCCCTTGATGGTCAGAGGCATCACATGCCTTGTGGGCACAGCAATTGCACAACTTCTTTTACTTATAAAAGCTTATGAGTTGATAAATAAAAGGAGAATCTATTGTATAAGTGCACATAGAAGGGAGATATACACTGGTGGAAGATGGAAGCATGCATCCACTTTTAGCTCGGCTGTGCATAAGAAGGAACTGAAATGATATGACAGGCTGTTCGGTGTCCTCTTCGTCACCAGGAATACATAGAGGAGAGACTGCCAAAGATATTTTTTAAAACTCATTATTTTCTGACATTAACTATCTGTTTTTAGCTAAGTGCCCATAATGTGGTTATCTGCTCACTAATTCATGATTTAAATACAGGTATTAGACTACAACAGTGAGAAAAAGACTGCCAGGGAAAAACACCACAACTTGCTTTACAAACTGCAGACAAGTCAGGGAGATAGCATGACCCACTCTGCAACACATTTTATGCCTCCTTAAAGATGGAATTATCTATGCATCGGACCAAAAAAGGCTGTGCTGGCAGTTTACCAAGTACGGGGGTAACACACCTCAACTGCCTGGATGCCACAGCCATCTTCCTCTTTACTACGACAAGAAAGATGTCCAGAGAGATACCAGACCCCAAAAAATGTGGACCCCCGCGAGTGAGATGAACAATGTCTGCTGGGACTGGAGTGCGAATCTCATGTGGCTGCTGGAAATGCAGCGCCAGCTCTGGGCTGCATTACAGAACAGCGCAGTCCAGTTACTGTCTCAGCCCTTTAAGAATTTCTCATGAAATAAAGCAAACAGCTGTAAATGATCAGTAAAGCAGCGGAATGAAGACATGCTTAGCAGGGAACGCTGATCAGAAGGGGATGGGGATCTTACACCACACAACGTGCTCTGCTCCAAAGCAGTGAGGATCTTCTCCTAAGCAACATCCCAAGTGGAGTTCAGCCCACGCCATATTCCCAGCACTTTATGGCATTAGCTAAAGAGCAGCACCAAACCGACAAAGGACGGCACACACATCTGTCACGCAGCTCACCTGCTCCCCATTTTGTGGCGTATGTCTTTATTCATCCGAGTATCCCCTCTGACTATGTATCATCACAGGAAACCATAAAAAAAGCTTTTCATAGCTTTTGAGAGTTGGCATGCACATACAAACCCATGCAGTATAAATCTGCACTAAAAAGCTCAAGGACAGAGTGTTAATGCTCCCACTCTAACATTTCACTCTGCAGCTGAGGTCAGGACTTCTCCTGCCTTCCGTGATTCTGCTGTGAGCTCCTCAGCTCTCAGGCTTATGTCACTAATACTGTAATGAGGTTGAACATGAAGTGACAGTGCTATCTTACGGCCATTTAACTCTGCGGCAAAAAACTCCAGGGAATTTTGTGAAGGATGAGACCCTCTCCGCCATTAGGAAACATCTCTTCCTTTTTCACCTGTTTCACGCAAATCCTTGCATTAGGGACCTTGAGAGGAGAGCTTTGCTCAGTGCGCCCATTCCCAGAAAAACCACCTTAGCCCTCGGTGAATGCTGAGCCCTTAAGTGCTTATTTAGCTGCAGAACAACACCAGCACTCTTTGATGATTGCTGCTGTTTTGTTGTAACAGAAAGCAAGCAGTACAGGCAACCATACTGCAGCTCCCTGCTGCTGCACTCGGTCACAATTTATTTCCATCCTACAAGACGTTTCAGTTAAATATGCTGAAGATTTTGATCTGATGTTTTTCCCCCGTATCAGCGAGATCAAAGACAGAGAGAGGGAGGGAGAGAGAGCGAGCGCGTGAGCACAAGAGCGAGAAAAGCATTGCTGCTTCGAACCAGGAACAAAAGAGATAAGTGCACCCATACTAGGACACAGTGCTGTAGTCACAGAAACCCCACTAATGACTAAAGCATCTGTCTATCAGAGAGCCACACTGCGATTGCATCTTGCTCCTGGAAGGAAAAAAACAGATTTTAAAGTGCCCGTTATAGCCTGCAATCAAACCGGAGATCCATCCCCTCCCGAACCAGAGCAGACAGCGGGCTGGAGCCTGCTGCCACAGAAATCAGTGAGGGGAGCGCATGGCGTGCAAATCTGATACGTGCATCAGCAACAGCATGGGCAGCCGCTTCAATTATGGCTCAAATTAAAGCAGGTGGTTTCAGATTTCGAGTTTTATCCCCTTTGCTCCCGTTGCTGTCATCTGCTTAATGAATAACAATTGCTTTCTTTTTGCACAACCTCAGCAGAGCTACACTTCCCCGCATTTGTTTGCCAACCAAGCAGCAGAGCTTTAAAGACGTAACTGCCTTTTTTTTTTTTTTTTTTCCCGGTAAACAAATGCTAGGCTTCTGGGGTCAGGAACGCTGAACAGAAAATTCAGCCTGGACCTCTCAAACCAGAGCAGGGCTTTATCAAATGGTGTTGCCAGGGACTACAGATGTGCAAGCAAGAAATCCGTCTCCTTATGTTGTAGCTTACAGGCTGGGATGTATATGCAGCCCGACTATTCTGCTCTCAGTGGTGCTGAGTAATGGCTGACTTCTCAGGGGGTATTTCCAGCTGGTTCTCACAGGCTGGGTTCGGCGGTACCCACACGGCAGCACCTTCTCCCCAGCGGCTATGAGGTTAGGGACCCTGGGAAGAGAAGCGCTGGCTGGGTGGATCGGACTGGAGCTGCAGAGCTGTAGCCCTGCGGGGCACAGAGCTGCCCTCCGAGAACACACCAGTGGCTCCCAGCAGCACAAACCATCCCCGTGCCTGCCCGTGGGATAACGCGGCGTATTCCAGGCAGGCGGAGGAGCTCCCTGGCAGGGCTGGTGCAGAACCAGAGAAAGCTGCACCCCCCTCCCCGGGCTGTTCGGCTCCGCAGCGCTCCGCAGTCCCTGCAAAATGGGAAACGTCTCTCCCAGAGGCAGAGAAAACGGCAGGGTTTTTCG